GAGCCAGTAACAGGCTATGGGCACATCCTGATGCCAATGTTTTCTCCCTCTGCATATGAATTGCCTTAGAAGATCCCTGCCCACCTCGCCGTTGAGGGATTCAGGACTTCACTGGCACCTTGCTTTTCTGTGCTGAAAATTATCAGGGTTTCATCACACAACATGTATCCCAAGGTACCAAGGAGAGGAACGGCAGTTTTGCATTGCTGAGACATGCAGCAGGAGGGAGAGAGAGTGGGATTTTCCAAAAGAGGGCATAGCACAGCTAGAAATAACTGCCTTTAAAGTGGTGACATTTTTATGCATGGAAGAGCTAACTTAGAACATTTTTAGAGGTTTTTATAAATCCCTCTGAGCCCAGTGCCACCGGATTCATCATATGAGGCACCTGTTTTACAGGGAGAAGGTATACAAGCAATAACCAAATATACAGTTCTTGCACTCTCTCAAACTTTCCCTAAATAGCTCTTTTTGTAACCGCAGGTAGCATATGCAAAAAGCATGATGAAACCCAGAAAGTTTGGCTGCTTTTGCATTTCTGTCTTTGAAAGAGAAATGTAGGCTGCTTTTAAAAGAAAAGAAAAAAAACCCTGTAATATTCTCTTACATGCCCTTTCTGCATTCATGGGTGTGTCTTAATATCAGTGGTTAATTTTTGCAAAACAATAAGCCCCCTTTTTTTCTTTCAGCTCTCTGAAATAGAGCTGCCAGGAGCTTTTGGATTAAGCTTTATCAGGCTTCAGTTAGGAAAGCCTCATGGAGGTTACGTAGCCAAATACAACATACAAATCAAATTATGGGAGAGATGAATGCAGAGTTGTTAAATTAATTTTGTTTGTTCCAGCCCATTGGAATGTTTTTAACATGAAGAAAATAATTCTCTGCTGTATGGCTGGTCTGGCCAGCGCTTAGGACTGTATTAGCATGCTACATTTGTCTGCGAGTGGCAAACAGGTTTTCTCCAGGCTTGAGCAAGCCCTGGAAGGCAGGGCTAGCCAAGATGCTGGCTTGCCCCCTGCCTTCCCCAGCGGGCTGATCTGCAGAGAAAAGACTGTGTCAATCTCCCAGACAGCCCCACACATGGCCAACAGCTGGAAACGCCGGCTGAGGCTGCTCCGTGTCAGGTCAGAGGGCTTCCTCCAGATACACCCGTGCAACCCTCTCACTTCTGCAGGACTTTTCCATAAGGCAGGAGCCGGTGTGTTTGCCATGTTCCCAGTTCAGGTCATCCCCGACAGGAGGGTGAAGGGGGGGTTCGCTCCGAGAGGTCCGAGGCATGCCACGCTCAGGGCATCGCTGCCTGCCACGGGGCGTGCCCCGGGTACCGCGAACGTGCTTGCCTGTTGAGTGCCTCCGAGCTGTAGCCCTGTGGCCCCAGCGAGGTTTTTCAGCCTCCAGGACTCCTGGTGCGGGTGGTCTGCTAGCCAGGACGCAGTGGCTTCAGTGTGCCACTCGAATTACGCAGGCCTAGTTGAGGTATGTCTCTGCTTAGTGTTGCACTACACCGCAGAAAGACATCCTGAAAGACCCCTCAATATTTTTATTATCCGTTAGGATCTGAATTTAAAAGAGACCGTTAGTCATAATTTTTCTAAAAATAGCTGAGATCTGCTATTTCAGTGTGAAATGATACTGGTTGTTGGTTTCAGTTCTTTTTTTTTTTTTTTTTTTTTAAGCAATCATGAATTCACAGGGTTTGGGGCTTTTTTGCTTATTTAGCCTGGTTAAAAAAAAAAAAAAAGGTGAAAGTTTGTGTTTCTCTGTAGCGTGTCCTGATTCAATTCAGAGGAAGATGCAAACTTCTGCCTCCCTGTCCCAACCTCTTTCTGCATTTCTATTTGTCCTTCAGCTGCACATTTTGCAAAATCAGTAGAGGTTCTTTAGCATTTAAAAAAAGACAGACGAAAGCAAGGAGCCTGCAATTCTTTTAATCTTCTTTCAAAAATCCAGGGCACACAGAGTATTGAAAGGAAAATTAGATCTCTGGAAAATGCCAGTTGTTTTATAGATGGTCAAATCATTACACTTTTTTTCTTGCCTTTCAGACATTTGCTGTTATTATGTATCACTTTAATTAAATCATCAAATTGAATTATTGGATCAAATGTTTTTTTATTCCACTGTGTCCTGAGCAGGTTTGGTTAAATTAATAAAACCATATGTTTCATTTTATAAAAAAGATTTCTTTTTTGCCCATTCATAAGCTGTTAAAAAAAAAAAAGTGGCTGAACAGGGGAGGTTGGTTATTACTTAATTACATCAGGTACTGCTATGTGCCTTGGAGTAATTGGAACAAAGTCATACTAAGTCCTGAAAATTTTGTTATATTTACTGTGAAATAGCAGTATTGTAAATTCAGTCTCCTTTTAGCTGGCTGTGAATGAGGTTTGTCCTCGTCAAAACTTGTCTCAGTGAAGTCAGTGGGGTCACTCAGCTGCTTAAAAGTGCTCATGACCTTCTTGGATCGGGGTGCAGGGTCAGGGAGGGTCTCCTAACTTTGAGCCCGTGAGTCTCCTATTTACCCTTGGGAAATGCCCGCTTCTCTCCTCTGACTGGCATGAGCTATTCTGAATGGCATCAAAGCTGGCTGCAAAGAGTGGCATGGAATAGAGGACATGACAGTCCCCTTTTCCTAGGGCAGCTTGGGGTCCTTGTCTGAGAAACAGCTGGCTACCCATGGTTCAGAGGGGTATTGCAATTAAGGTAGATCTCTCTGTCTCTCATGAAGGTTAGCTTGTTGAATTATTTCTAAAACAATTTGATGCATGATTACTTTAAATATATAAATCTCTTCCTGTCCTCCTGGAGGAGGAGGACTGGATAAGACACTTAGGTCTGGGTAGTCCTTCACCCTGGGCTCCTGTCTCTGATGGGATTTGATTAGGTGGAGAGATAAAGGCTGGCCTGGCATTTTGAAGCGTAATTCTGTGACGACAAAGGGCTTCAAAGGGGGCAGTTATGATTTATTGGTGCAGTTATCAATAAACAGTGATGTCAGTGAGAATTGATCTGACTATCTCAGCGGAAAGAGGTGAGAGCACGGAGAGGCATACCAAGGATCATGAAGCTCTGTAAATTGTGACAACAGTGACTACTTTCAGCTGTGCCCTCTCGGCTGGGTCCTGGCCACCTTCTTGCCATGCTCTGCGGCACCCTGGCTCTGTGGGCTCCCTGCAGAGACCAGGAGGGAGCAGGAGGGAAGGGGTCTGCAGGCAGCAGACCAAGGTGTTGCTTCTGGCTTTGTGGCATTGACGGCAGAATGCCGTTTCGGTCCCTTCAACTCAGTGTGAATAGAAACTCATATTTGTTTTGTCAATGATTTGAGGCACTGCAGGGTTTGTTTGCTTTGCTGGATCATCCCTCTGGGTTGAGCAGAAGGATCTACTGCAAAACCGCAAGATAGTCACCACTTGTGGCAGGCGCAAACACCGAAGATCTTTCCTGCCCAGGCGTATTTCTGCAATACGTGTTCTTTTGTTCAGGCTAGCTACAAAATGTGAGTTATAACTGCATAAATGCAATTGACAGGTATTTTTCTATTGTACTGGTAATATTGGTGTTTACAGCATTTAATCATTGTTATTTAGGGACTGTAGCTATTTCAGTAATGTAATGCCAGAGCTACATGACCAACCTGCAAGTCCAGGCATTAGGAATAGACATTTCTCCCTTTCAGTGCTGCCAGGACTGTTTAGAAGTGAAATAATGGCCAAATATACATGCAGTCACATACCTGCAGAGTGCAAACAAGCTGAATGTGTTGCCTTTAAATGGAAAAGTCTTATTGGAAAAATAATTCTGCAAACAGTGTCAGCCTGATGGGCTGGGTGACACTTTGACTTTCCCTGGCACAAGAGACCAGCTCCTTTGCCACGGCACATGTGTTTAGGTATCATTGCAAGTGATCTTTCTTGGTTCAGAGTTTATAATGGGAGAGAAAATGTGAGAATCTGTCCTGAATTGTGTATTTTAAACATGATTTTTAAAGCTGGGAAAAAAATCTAAACTCTCTATGTTTGGCAAGCGTATGATGTATTTTTTCCATAGTGTATGAGTGCCATCTAGTGTTCTTCATTAGTACCCTGACCTTTACATTTCAGTGGCTTGAAAAGTGTTTTCTTCAAGCGGCTGCGAGTGGGCTGTGCCCACCCCACTCCTCCTGAAGTGTACGGGCTGGGTTTGCGCCTGGGCTCGCTCTTCCCTGGAGGAGTTTGGGTTTTGGTGTCCGCAGTCAGCAGAAGCTGTGGTTTCGCCCGCTGGTTAAGCTGGTCCCATGCTGACGTCCCCACCGACTTAAGCTTGAGTGAGAAGTAAGTTGTGCCTCCCCGCTGCAGGCAGGGTTAGGAAGGGACGGCTTTCGGAGGCTGGCTGGAGGGTTCCCTTGCCTGGTATGAGAAGGAGATGGCCAAGGGCCATCAAGTGCCACTCTTCCCTGCGCTGGTGATACATCACTGCGGAAGAGTTGAAAATCCATGAAGGAAAACATATAGAAAGAGGAGCATAAAGTAACTTCTGCTCATGTGCAAAAATGTACTAGGTTAAGAGGAAAATACTGACTCACCCAATAGTGTCACATTTTCAGAGGTTCCAACTATTTCCAGGGCCTGCGGAGCACACTGGAGCATTTACCCCCTTCATACGGCAGGAGACTGTGGGCCAGGGAAGCTGGGGCTCGGGTTGATTGGACTTTAATGTTCCAGTGCAGAACTCGTAAGAGACCAAGTTAAAGTGTACATGCAAATGTCAGGACTGAAAATAAGTCGAGAACTAAGCAACCTGCCTGCAGAGAATGGATTCTCTCGCTGCCTTTACTCTGGAGAGCAGAAAGCAGCTGCAGGTGGTATTAAATCCCATTGGTCTCAGTGGATTGCAGTCTAAGCTATTACTGTAGGCAAGGGCATTAAAGAAAAAACCTGGCTCTTAGAGTGAGGCACAGTTCTTCCTGTTTGTTTTCTCTCAGTTATTTAGGAGAGCTTCACATTTTTCCTTCTGTTGTTTAGCTTGCAGCACTCCGCCAGTCAACATGAAAGTGCAGCCTGTGAACAGGACAGCGTTACTTGTAACCTGGAACCAGCCAGAAACCATCTACCACCCTCCGATCATGAACTACATGATCTCATATAGCTGGACTAAAAACGAAGATGAAAAGGAGAAGACTTTCACCAAGGACAGTGACAAGGACCTGGTAAAACCACAGCATCAACCCCAGACATATGTATCAAGCTATCCTTACATTGTTATTTTCTCAGTAGAAGAAAGTAGAGGAGGAAAGCAGTTGTTGCCTTATAGACAGACTAGTGTTTGACTCGCAATGAATTGCTATTAAAATGTTCAGCATTAGTTGAACATTGCCTAACAGACTCCCCAAAACACTGAAGTGTGAATTTATAGTTTATGTGAGTGCATAAAGGACTAAATCTGCAGACACATTTTCATATACTGTTGCTGAGAAGCAGCTGGCACGGGAAATAGTTAGGCTCTGAATACCTTTTGGCTTGTGCTCAGCTTACAGATTTTCACATTAAAAGTCTGATCCCCCAAAATCTGTTCCTGGGCTCAGGCTTTTCACTGTGTATAGCCCCTTGCAGTCTTTGGAGCAGTTTCTGGCAGTAAGTGCTGCCAGCAGTAGGAGTTGCATGGTCAGAGCTAGAAGATTTTTGCGGAGTGGCCCTGTACAAGCAGTGGGACAAAAAGAGGGAAGAACAAGACAGTTCCAGCACAGACGGAAACACCGATCTATCTCCTCCATTTAGGATTTGATCTGCTTGTCATTCTTGTCTAAGTGGAAGCAAGTATTGTACCGGTCTTTAACATTCTCTCCATATAAAATCAAAGTGACATATTCAGGTTTGAAAGGCCTCCGTTTATTGTTAATCAAAGAAAGCCTCTAGAATAATGAAATCAGTAATTGTATATGCACATGAAAAATGCAGCAGCACAGAGTGTTATTCCTAATGACTGTTATCGGGTTTTTTTTTTTCAAATACACAGTCCTCTGGGCCCATTCAATCAGTTCTACAATAATACTTCTCTTATTCCCTTAGATGAAGATTCTTTTACTTCATTTCCATTTATATTTTCAATTTCCCCACTAGACATTGTTATCTGGGTCACATTAGGGAACGATGTGCCTCACAAAATCGGAAAGGAATCTATTGAAAGGCACCCAAGGTTATGATGTATTGTAACCTCTCTCTTGTCATAGCTTCACACTCTTAAGGGAGATTTTTTTTTAATCAGGTATAAGGAGGAGAGCCTTAATCAGCAAAAATGAGGTGGGCACAGTGAAAGCATCCTGTTTTATGTAAAAGAAATAATTAAAAGTGCAGGGGATGTGATGGAGTGATAGCTTGGAAATAAATTGCAGTGAGACCCTGTGCTGTGCAGCAGAGCTTGGAGGTTAAGAAAGCAATGACAGCTTAGTCTATTTTAGGGGCAAGAGAAGAAGGAAACTCTTTTTCAGAGGAAAATGCAAGTGTTCTGGCAGAGGCAGTTGGGCTGTCCCGTTTTGAAACGGAGCTGGACAGTGTTTTGCTAAACAGATCGCTGGTATTTCAAGTGACCCACACAGCTACTGCTGCTGTCTGCTGTAAGACATGAACTGATGTGATTGTGGACTAAGGCAACACAAAAGAGTATCTGGAAGGCAGCAGGGTCTCAGGTCTAAGAGTATGCGGGGACAGCCCAGCCCAGCCCAGGGTGCTGAGCCATCGTGTTACACAGGCCACCAGCATCAAATTGCCATAGCCAGTTTGTTGCAAAATATATAGTCAGTTTGAACATGTAGTGACTTTTCTGGGCTTATCCCATGTTTGGGACTCAGAGCTCCACCTATTAAAAAAATCTCATTTTAATTCCTGTAGGGTCAAATGATTTGAGGTTTAGTTTTTTTCTGAGGAGCGCAGAGACTTTTAGGCATGAAGACTGTCATGAGAGTAGAAGTGGGAGGTGTTCCTTCCTTTCTCACGGGCAGAGTCAGCAGAGTCTGGGTGCATCGCTTCGGCCTTGCCCTCTCTCGGAGGACCAGTGGATATTTCTATGTAGAAATAAGTTTGTCTTACATGGCATAAATGTCCTGTGTTAGCACAATGCTTTATATATTTCAAACTGATCGTGGACAGTACTGTGGGGGTAAAAAACTGAATAATATCTATTTTTTTTAAACAGAAGGCCATCATTAGCCATGTCTCACCTGACATCCTTTATCTGTTCAGAGTTCAAGCAGTTTGCCGAAATGAAATGCGTAGTGACTTTAGCCAGACTATGCTCTTTCAAGGTAAAAAAACCACATACACATTTTTACATTAAATGACTCTTTGTTTGTTTAACATTTTCTTTGCAGAGTGCAATATGGTGTGGAATGATTTCAGAAGATGTTTGAATGCATGTAGACAATGCTAATTTCAGATTGTGGCCAGTCACTTTTATCAGAGTCCTGTTTCTAGTGATGGGGGTTTGCCTACCTCTCTGCTGGCAGGGTTCACCAGGTTTTAGGATAATTCAGAGCTTTTCTTGGTACTAGTTTTTTAAAACAAATTCATCAGAGACTGCTTATGCATCAGAGGCACAGCTATAGCAGAATGTGAGTCTGATCGGTGTCTGTTTTATGTAAAGAGGAAAGGCGATCAGTACTACCTTGACAACCACATGTGGAGATCTTCAGGTTTTACCATGCACGCAACCTCAGTGATTTCCAAAACATACATATTTAAATGAAAGCAAAAGAACTGGATGCTAAGCTGTCATTTGTCATGGACTTCCTTTTAAGTTTATTGGAGAAATCTGGCAAAGCTGAGATTTGGTAGGAGAACTTGATGCTTTTTGGGTTTTTTAAGTGCTGAAGTCTTGCTCCTTCCTGGGAATTTTATTACTACTTCTTTTATTAACTAGGGCAAAATTCACCTCTTCTGAGAGCAATCCCTCCCACTCCAGTTTACAGATCTATAAACCTCGGAATGGGTAATGGAAGAACAAAACAAGCAGAGAGTTAAAAATTTAAATCCTTAAGATGAAGCAAAGAGTTAAGTCACTTGCGTCTGATGCTGTATATGGAATAGAATAATAGAGGCATTTTTCAGTGTGCTTTTCAGAAAATGTGGAGGTTTTAATCCTACTCTGTTAGCACTTAGCATCTGAAGGATATCAAGCTGTGGACACAATTTAGTTCTGTTGCGGTATCATGCCAAAGTTTTAGCAGCATTGCAGAGAAAGCAGAGTTTGAACAGGAAATGTCCTATCCAAGCAACATCTCATGTGTAGCTCTCAGTTGCATAGTGTCTCAGCAGAGTGGTTTGGACTTCCCTTTAAGTGCCAGGCAGAAGTCAGAAACTTGTGTATTACTGATTAGGGCTTCTTTCGGCAGATAACAGAATGGAAAAATTCTTTGAAATTTGACCATGATACCTATTTAATTAGAGTTAAGAGTAAATCATTATTGACAGTTTTTCTGGATACTCTTTGGGTACTCTAGCCCAATGCTCAAAGCAGTGGAAGTGATATACACACACCTGCAACAGGAGCAGATGTTGTGTTTCCTTCCATGTCTCCCCAAAAAGGAGTTGTTCTTCTGATCTTTGGCGGGACTCAAGATCTAACCTAGAAGAAGAATCCACTTGAGCTTTCAAAACGTACTTAAGAGGCTGATTATAGTTGTAGTTGAGATAAATAGCAATAAATAATGATGATGTTATCATAAGGGCAGAAAAAACTATTATCATCAGCTGCTCTTGCTTCCTGTGTAAGTCAGGACGTTTCGTCCAGCTCCGGTTTGAAGGAGAGCATGCGTTTTCTGGCAGTGCACTTAAACCGGCATTGCCAGGCCTGAGTAATTAAAGACAAAACAAATCTGTCTTTAGACACAAGTACAAAGTAAGGTGAGTAACACCAAACGAGCCGAGTTGCTTTTATCCAAACCGAGACCTGCATCCGCGTTTTGTACTAGCCATGTTCAGCAATCGTTTAGCAATTTTACCGATGCCTCCCTTCCCAGTCCGCTGACACGCTCTTGTTCTTTATTTCTCAGCTAACACTACTCGAATTTTCGAGGGGACCAGAATTGTGAAAACAGGAGTGGTAAGTCCTGGCCGTAAATCCCTGCGGAGCGCTGGGGGGGGCGGTAATGGGGGGCGACGTTCCCACCAGGTGGCAGCACGGGGTCGTACATCGGCGGCAGGACCCGGCCTTCCTCGGGGGGGGGGCGGTCAGAGCTGCCCCCAAAGGTTTTAACACAGACCTAAAATATTGGAAAGGGTTCGGTTTTCCAGCGGCCTGCCCCGAGAGGCTTTGACAACTGGAGAATCGGGTATTAAAAAAATCTTCCCAAATTTGTATTCGACCCATTTAGGGCGGATTTGTAATCTTAATGACAACTGTGGAAATAAATTTAATTTCTTTTACTAACTGTATGACCAGAAATATATGCAACAGCAATAGGGCTTCACACACAGCATCTTTGCTCTTCCAGTGCTTTAAGGAAACCTGCTATTGTGTGAATAAAGCCTTAACGTGCTCTTTGTTTTAATTTTAATTCAGGTGAGACTGTAGCAACTCACTGAAGCTGACTTTTGTATTCCAGAATCAGAAATGTTGATACATTTACAGTAAAACTGGAATACACTTTTTCAGTTTTGAAAGTACCTTATTAGGTTATTTAACATAAACTATCCATAACCTAAATTTCTTGGCATTCAGTATACTGAATTGTTCAGACAAATTTATGGACTGAATTCATACTATTGAATTTACTTTAAGTATATTGCTTCTGGTTTTATTCTGTTCCAGTTTGATATACTCCCTAGTAAGCAAATAACACATTCAAAGCTTGAATTTGAATGATTAATGTTTGTTTAATGATGTATAGAGGTATTCTAGACATATAAAATCTGCTGTCAAATTTTAATACTCAGTCCAGCTTTGAGACTGTACATGCCAGTGAAAAGCAAATCTCACAGTGCCTTAGGGATTCACACTGATAAGTATCCAGAAGTTTAGATGCTTATTTAAAGTTTTGGCTTGAAATCTCTGAAGCACAGGTTTTCTTCTGAGATCTCAGGTTCTCTATGATTGCAGCTGGTCAAAAATAACCGGAGGAAGCAGCCTTTCTTGGTTTGCTGCAGCATTTCAGCTACAGGGCCTGACCGAAACTGGGAATTGCAGAGGTGCAGAAATACTGTTAAGTTATAAATTTTAGTTCCAAAAATAAACATGTTACAGTTTTGTTCAGTGTTCAGTAGCACCTATTTAACCCTTGTTTGTCCTTGTCTGATGCGTTCCTTTCCAGCTAATGCTCCTCTTGCTGATGAATTCAGTAACGTGAGACATTTTTCAGTAAGTCAGAGAGGGAGCTTGGTCAGGTTGTCTGGGCAGAACTGCTGACCCTGGCTCTTCCACAGAATTACTCCCTGTCCTTAGCCAACTCACTTCAGTGTCTTTTTCCACATGTAATTCAGGAAGGGGAATGACTTGTCTAGGTTTTTAAGTATATACCAAGGTTTTTACTTCTGGTAGAGCATACACATGTGTGCACAGAGACCCATGTGCGAGCACGTGTGCACTGGGTTGATGTTAGAATAACACTGGCAGGGTGCCGAGGGTGCAAAGTCCATGGTTCATTCCCTGCTTCCTCTCAGCTCCCGGAGGGAAATGGACAGTGCCAGCCCTGGCTCTGGATCGCTGGTGGAGGCCAGGGAGAGCCCTGTGGATGGGGAAGGCTGAGTCCCCCGCTGGGTGCCACAGCCTCGTGGTCCTGGTAGAGGTCATGGTGACTGGCCGAAGGGCTCCTGATGCTCTCCAAGTCCTTCACGAGCACCTAGCTGGCCATGCAGCAGGTCTTTTCTAACGAGAGCGATGCCTCACTGCAGCACCAGTCCTTAGGAGAATGATGCTGATGGGTAAATTAAGGAAATAAAAATAGTACCATTTGAGGCCCTCACAATGTGTGTGGGAAGAGCCAGAGTTCCCTGTCAGAGCAGACCCACCAGCCTCGGATGCTCACGTTGGCAGCACAGCCCTTATTTTGGGATGGCCCTTACGTAACGCTGTATTTTTAAACTTCTATATTCTGAGGATTAAAGCACTGTGAGTAATGCAGCTAAACTCCTTAAACTCCTTTACATCCTCCTCACCCCTGAGAGGAAACGTTACTCACAAGTCACCAGTGACGTGGGTGGAGGAGGTCCCACTGTAAAATAAAGATAAGAATAAAGAGGGTTTTGATGCTAATGATTGTTCGGAAGGGGTGAATGCAGGGAGGTTTCCTCCCTTTGTGGTTTGCCATGTAGCTCTGTGGCATGTCCCGTTCCTGACTCAGCCCTGCATCCAGGTGGTGTAAGTCTCTCTTTTTAAGAGAACAGCAACCAGAATGGCATGTGTGTGGAAAGGGAGGGAAAAAGCAAAAGAAAAATGACCCCAGGTAGCTTGGGGCCCCTGCTGATGCTCTCTGCTGTGTTTTCTTCCCCTCTGCTGCCGGTGACCCCCTGAAGCCCACGGCATCTCCTGCCTCCTCAGCCGACATGGCTCCCATCAGCTCCGGCTCCTCCACCTGGACCTCCTCGGGGCTCCCCTTCTCCTTCGTGTCCATGGCCACAGGGATGGGGCCTTCCTCCAGCGGCAGCCAGGCCACCGTGGCCTCAGTGGTGACCAGCACCTTGCTGGCAGGGCTGGGCTTCAGCGGTGGTGGCATCTCCTCCTTCCCCAGCAGCGTGTGGCCCACCCGGCTCCCCGCGGCGGCCGCCCCCAGCAAGCAGGCGGGACGGTCGGTGGTGGCCGCCACCGAGGCCGCCGCCGCCTCCCCGGGGCCAGAGCGGGACTCGGCGCTGACAAAGGACAGCGAGGGAGCCGAGGAGGGGGAGAAGGACGAAAAGAGTGAAAGCGAGGATGGGGAGCGGGAGCACGAGGAAGAGGAAGAAAAGGATGCCGAGAAGAAGGAGAAAAACAAGGCGACGGCGGCCACGGAGGCGCGCAATAGCACGGAGCCCAACGTGGCCACGGCTTCCCCCAACCGGACTGCCGAGGAGGAAGGAAATAAAACCATATCGGGTGAAGAGCCAAACCAAAATGTTGCCCCCACGGCTGGAGGTCCCCAGGAGGAGAGCTTTGCCGAAGCAGACACTCAGCCCCAGCCGCTCCCTTCCACCCAAGTGCCACCAGCGTTCACCAACGAACTTTACCTGGGGAAGATCCCGAGAAGACCGGAGACAACAAGAAAACCTCCTCCAAAGGAGGACAGGTTTCCAGAGGAATACCCCTCAGATAACAAATTCATCACCATTAACCCAGGTGAGTGACCTCCGGGGAAACCGTTTTTACCAGCATGAGGCTGTCAGGAAATGATACAATCCAGATTCCTTACTGATTTCCAGTAGATAAAACATTTTTGTGGTGCCTGGCTTCATCCAATGGGCAGGTCCTCACAGCACCCAACCCGCAAATCGTTACTGGGGGGAGTAGAGGGGAAGGATCATCCTTTTATGTTATTGGGACAGACTCATGGTCCTTGTAGCTTGCTAGAAGAGAAAATTTGGGAAAATGTTAACCCCCAACATACTGCCTTAAGAATTTTGGTTTTAAAAAAAAAAAAGGAGAGGAGAATGCAGTGAACTATAGCTGTGAAATTAATTTGGAAGAGCGGTTGCTGTGCCGAACTGGTGTTTCATGGGAAGGTTGCTATATATGTTGTAAGCTAATTTAGTTTATCTGCAGGATTCTCCCTGATTGGGTTTTGAGATAGTCTCCCAAATACAGGATCATCGCTTGTTTATTTCTCACCACAAAACCTACATACTCTGATCTTCCAAGGCAAAGCACCTTTTGCGCTAGGGTTACCTTTTTTTCCAGGCAGTGTTCACATATTTTCCATGTTTGTCCTGATGAGAATTACCAGTGCTCTTGTACACGCCAACTCTGGATGTATGTACCAACTCTACAGTACGTACGCAGCAAATACAACCTTTTGGAAGCATGCCCAGGTGATCTGCATGTGCACCAAGTCCTGTGTGGTCAGGATTTGCTCCACAGGCCTATGCAAACTGGTATCTCATGGTGCTCCCAACTTGCTGTGCAGAAAGTCCAGTGCATATGCACTTGTTCCTGCTTGGGGAGCTCCAGGCACTGGTGAGGAAAATGGATCTTATAACTGCAAGGAGCAAATGGAGTACATGTGTATGGATTTATTTGCAGAGTAAGGACTGAGATTTAGATATGGCGACAAGTTTATCTGAGTGATTATGTGTATTACCACAGCATTCATAAGATAGTGCACATTTTTTTGTTCAGTTTTTTTTAGTGTTATTGTTTATTTTGCTAATCTAGAGACTGTTTTGTAATTTTGTTTTTCCATCAAAGCTGTTCTAGAGTACGCGTACTGTGAAAAAACCTTACATATTTATTTTTCCCTACATTTTTAAGCACAAAAATGCAGACATTGTGCACTCAGTTATAGCTCAGAACAAATTTAAAAAACAAAGCTAAATCCAATCTTTAATAACATTTTTTACAGAAATACTGACCTGACTCTAATGCTGTGAATCATAACTGTTCTGTAAGCGAACAGATTAACAATGCAGAAGCAAGAAACCTGCACCAGGTTGTGCCTATTTTTTTTAAATACCCTGCTGTTTTTCTTACTCCTCAACTGGAAATCTTCTTCAAAGTCCAGTGCTCCCACTGAATATGATCTGAGGTGCCTGTCAGGCAGCTTTCAACATGCCACTTGCCCTAATCACCTTTTTATTAGGAAGGGGGAAACTTATCCTAGCCATGCTTTGCAATGTTGGGAGAAAGCATTCAGCACCATTTAGGCTCAAACCCCAGCAATTCAATCTGCCTGGGTAAACCTGCCTCTGAAATAGTTGTCTTTGGTTCTTCCTGCCTTCTGCTTCTCTGTTTCTCATGTGCCAGTTCCTTGGATGGCCCAAGGACAACGTCCTTTATATAAGACCTAGAAAGGGCCTCATGGCTTATTCTCAGCCTAATAAATTGGAGGAAAGATGGATAGTTGTTCATGTTTCTTAATTCATGACAAAGGGATTGTTATTAGATTGGTTTTTATTCCGTGGTGAAGTTAAGATGAAAAAGATGAAAATCAATGAGATGGGGAAGTATTGTTAATATTGCTAAGAAGTACTTGATGGTTATCATGAATTGTATCCCCTTAGTCTGTAGTGATTTCTGTCTCTTTAGCATGCAGAGAAATATTACTGAAAGTGGTTCAGTACAGCTTTGCCTCCTACTACACAGCCTCTTTCAAGAGCTCTGCTCACTTGCATGCTTGGAGGCTCGAAGTGACCCTGTCTGAAGACTGCACGCAAAGACGATCAGTCTTGAAAGGACTCTGCAAATTAGGTTTTCCATGCTTATATATGGAGGGAGGACAACTTACTAAGATCACTGTGTCTTACAAAAATGGCTTCCATGTGTAAGAAATGACATCTGAAATAACCAGCACATGTTAGCTGGGGGAAAAGATAAGTGAAAGGGTTGCCTGTTTCGCCCAAATTAACCTTAGTTAAATCTTAGTCAAACCTCTGGTGACATACCCGGGATGAGGAGAAGGAATTGTACCATATATTCAGCTTCCCAGACAAGCCTCTCGCGGGCCCCTCAGTGCGCTGAAGAGTACACTCAGCAGCAAAAGGGCTGGGAATGGTTATTCAGAGATGAAGAAGGGCCCATTTGTGCCATTTTCCTTGGGGTAGAGGTTCATTCCCTGTCCTTGACCTCCAGGTGGAAGAAGTTAGGTTGGTCACAAACCTGGTGACTCCCTGTCCAGACGTTGGGAAGGGTCAGTGTTTTTAAACTCTGAGAAGATTTTAAGATGTCTCTTACTGGCTTTGGGACAGAGGCTTCCAGCCTGAATCTCTTTATACCAGATATGAGGACCTCGTCCTTCAAAGTCTCTTCAGGCAAGTCCTTCTTTTCTTTGCATCTCATGTCACCAAGCTTCTGCAGTGGATAGCTGAGGTTTACCTAACCTGGAACTTGCCCAAGTATTTTACTAGATGTGTCTAAGTAAGGCCTGGCTGGCCTGCTAGAAGTGCTACTCCTGTGAGAAGACTCTTGGGAATGCAGGAGAAGATCCAGGCTGGATCTAGGTTACCAAAGACACATGCCAGCAAAACCACAGCTGGTGAATCGAATCAATCAAACACTAGCACAAAGCCTAAGACTAGTTGCTTCATCTTAATTGTTTTCCACAGTAATATGGAAATTTGCAATTCATACAGACAGACCTGACATACCTCATGCAAGGAGTTGAGTTCAATGAAACTCCAGACATAAGCAAGACCTCCTCCTGTGAGAAAGGGCCTTAAAGGTTTTCCATAACAAGGTAAACCTGAAATCAAGACAATGACTCGTGAAGCCAAGAGGACATTGCTAGAAGTGTCTGAAAGCATTCCTGAGCATCAGGACAGTTAGAAGAGGGTGAAGGCCACTTCCAAAGTGAGCAGAAAGAACCCCTGCAGCTTACTGTGTCCCACAGAGGGCAGAAACTTTTTGAATGCATCTTTCTTTTCTCCAGGAAAGCAGTTTTTAAAAAGCTGTCAAGGTTTCAAAAATGTTTTTGTGAGTAGAAAGTTTAATCATTTTAAAGAGTAGAAAATTGTTTCATAACAATGTACACTTGTAAAATTAATTATATAGCATCAAATTAGCAGTTGTAAGGAGATAACTGAATGGGGAAGTACTCACGAGTGTGGATGATTAGAGGAGAACAGGGAACACATGAGAAATTACAGGGAAAGTGCGAGGCCAATTAGTACAGCAAGGCTCATTTTCTTTTAGTGCTTATTTCACACGCACATACACACACACCTCTCCTGAGGCCATGTCATTATTTTCCAAATGGCATTGGCCTCTTCTTGTCTAGTGGTATCGGCCAATGCTAATGATTTTCTTCTGTCACTGGATGCTTGCTTGCGTTCTCCTCTTTCATTTTCCTGATCATCCTTTTCTCTGTTTTGGTGCCCACAGTAGACTAATTGTACCTTTGATCTGCAACTGTTACACACACAGCTGCTCAGCATTGTCCATGACTCTGAAACCTGAAAATTAGAAAAACAGCGATTAGAATGATGCTATACCAAAAAAAAAAAAAGAGAGTTAAAAAAAAAAAAAGAGCATGATTCAGTTTAATCAGGCTAGAGCAGGTATTATCCCACAGAATTTTGGTTTGTTGTGCCGGACAGTTAAACGGATCCTTTGTATTTGACAGGAGATAACAAATGGGTTGTTGTGAGCAAAGCAATAGATGTCCGGTTGGTGCTTTTTGAGTCATGAGCTGGGACTGAGAACAGAGACATGGGATTGGCCCTTGATCCCAACTTCGGCCAGGTCCTCCCATCCCTCCGTGCTCACCTGCTTCTGCCAAGTTCCTCCCACAAGAGGGGTTTGTAGAGAGATCGTGATGTGCAGGGTTAAATTTCAAGCCTGGTGTACGCTTTTAGCAGAGACTGAATTTTGGTTTAGAGCAGTCTTTGCCAGGTCTGAGGTTACAAAAGCCTTTTGGGGATAACCTCATTAAGATAATTAAACATCTGTGTAATTCTTTCTTTCTCCATACGTGGCAAGGATTATTAAGCTGTATTTTCATGTGGCACTTGAGCCATTTTGCATGGTAACTTACAGGAGCAAGCAGCAGAATGGATTGAAAATGAAAGAATTGAATTATTTGATGTTTGCAAACAGTATGAATTTCAGATATCTGACATCAGGATTAAAAATGATTGGCATCTGTTTACAAAACAACGAAAAGTCATGCTTAGTTGTGCACAGCCTGGTTTAAGTATGACTACTGCAGGAATGCCTTTAAAGAAATAGAGAGAAAATAGCTGCACCATGGCATGAGCTTGTATCAAAGGTAATACTTTTTTTAAAAACATGGGTTTGCCTTTTCATCATTTAATAATATGGCCGATACTGTTTTCCAGAATGAATTGATACTTTTGTATAAGTCCATAATTTCATTTGCTCAAAGGAAAGATGAGCAGGTGACTTTCTTTTAAGAGAATGGATGGTCTGAGGCAGTTCAGCAGTGGGGGTTTTCTTTTGGCCTGCAGAACACGCATGTTGTCGTAGTTAAGGGTATGTGTAACGGTACAACAAACAGAACTTTGTCCTGGCGGTTTGTGCAATGGCAAGGGATGATAAAGGTAGATAAGTTATATATTACAGCTATGCTTGCTTATTATAGAAGGCAGTGTAACTTAAGGGAAATAAACATGTTTCTATTCTCAGGAACCAATTACGAAGAATACGCGGAAAAACAGCACATTTCACAAATTGTAGAATGCCCTTTTCTTGCCTTGACCTTTGTGCAAGAGTTGCGCTGCCAAAGCCTCCCTCGATGCCTAATGCCCTCTAATACTTTCTGTGCCAGGGCCTCATCCATCCAGGGCCTGGGTGGAACTGCTGAATGGGTGGTTCACAGGAGTTACGGATTTTTCCAGACGCAGGAGTGGATTTAGCAGTGCCAGGGCTTGTATTGTGTGGGACCTCCTGAAACAGATATGCTGTAATAATTTTTATTCCTTCCTACTGGGATGAATTCCAAGCCAGTAAAAGGCAAACTGAATTAATTCAACGAAGGCATATGCCACTGGAAACTGTTTACATTGCTTAGCAAAAATGGAGTTTCCTGGTCCATTTTTTAAGCTCCCCCCCCCTTCCCAAAGTACAGCGTATGGTGGGCACCGTTACAAGGATATGCTGTTGACACTACCAAGGCTCAACATTCTTGCTTTGGAAAAGAGTGAAATGCTGACTTTTTAAATTTTGTAATATTTTATTATATAGGAGAACAGGAAGCTATAAAGGCCCAGATCTGCCTTTTTTGGTGTGTATTTTCTTCAGCTCCTTTTCCAAGTTCTCCAGTGTGCTGCCTTTTCTTAGGCTCTTCTGCCATGACACTCAAGAGACAGGCGCCACCACTCCAGCTGCACTGCTGTACTTCTGGCCCCAACTGTCATTCTAGTACAATTTTTACTGGCATTGTTTTGTTTAAGCTCTCTCAACACTTTACTTAAGCAGTGGAAAACACCTAAGACTTTTTCTTCAAAGCCAGCACGGGAATGGTCTCTTTTTTTTCTGAAGCACATCACTGCTTGGGCATTCCCTACTGGAATTTCGGGGCCAGCCATCAGCACGCGGGAGTGGCATTTGCTATTCTGGCACTCAGCATACTGGATGCTTTCTTATCCTCACATCTGTGATATAGGGAGTTGGCAGGGTCAGATAAATGCGTTCTCCACAGTAGACTGAGTACGAGGAGCATCGTGAGCACTGCAGAATTTAATAGTGTGCATTGGGACTCTAGCCCATGCTGTGCTTACAATGGAATTTAATTTTCTTCCCATGCAAACAGAAACATATGTTTTTGTGTTGAAATATGTGGAGGTGAAACTAAACAGAATACTGTCCTTGGAGAGAAATGAAGCAACACCCTGACGGATGTAAGGTGGGGGGGCTATTTGGCTCTCCTATGAAGTTTTATTACATTGCATGGTTTTTTGCTTTGTCCCCTTTACCATTCTGATTAGTAACGCTTACCTCACAGGCTTAATTTTTTCATGCTGTTAATTGATTTGAAATGCACTGATAAAAACTGATGCCTCAGGGCTTATGATTTTTGCAAGTCTGGCAAATACAGAGAATAAGCCTTTGCTCTAATTTGGGGGTTGTTCTTTTCCTTATTCTTTGCTAGTCAAGGAAATTAAAGACCTATCTTAAAAATGGGATGTTGTATATTATTAGTATGCTGTGAAGATGAAAACTTACCACGTGCTGGAGGTACAACGTTGTGTGCCTATTCTGCGAAGTGGCACCGTTGGTAACCTTGGTAGCCTTTCTTACTGAAGTTGGAGACAACTGGCTACTCATCTCTTTTGATCAGTTCTATACTCAGTGCACGTTTGCTTCCCCCAAACATCCCTCTGATTAGCACCTCATTTAGGCTGCTTGCTAAAGGGCATTACCTCCATCAGCCTAGTTCTTAAAACTAGAAAGATTTCTTGCTGGGCTTGCAGCAGCCTGCAGCCTTGCTCTGTTTTCAGCAGTCAGGCAAAAGCATTTACAATTAACCTTTACTTCCATGTTAGTTGGATTTTACTCCTGCCTATGGAAGAGTATAATCTAAATGCTATTAAAATAGAGTATGACTTCATATTATGTGACATCTGGTGACTTCCAATTATCTGTGTTTTGCCTGCCTATGGTGAAAAGGCAATTATGTTGTTCTGGTAGGATTTGCAGCAGTTTCAGAAGATATGATAATATAATACTGAATGAGGGCAAGGAAGCACATTGGTAAGGAAAGACTCACGTAGGCTAAAAAGTAGAAGTCAAGTGCGTACGTTTCAATGCTCAAAGAAATCTGAAGCTGTTTACCCTAATCCTTTCCAATTACGTCCTGTTGACAGGTATTGATCAACTACCGCCTGTTTGTTAGGAAACATGAGTAAGATACAGAATCAGCTTCTGTATTTTTCTTTTATCATTCTGTCTAAAACAATTTATTCGTCAAGTCTACATGAATTTGCACAAATTAGGTGTCTTTTCAAATACATTGATACAGCGTCTATGTTCATTGGCTCCAGTACTTGCAGAACCTCTAGATATTCATCTGATATATGATACAGTAATTTTAACGAGGTGTCAAGCGAAAAGTGAAATGGAGTTACTCGGCCAGATCTCAGGATATTGACCAACTTTAACTTTGTTCAAAAGCTGTGGCATAATGATTTCTTCTGTCAGTTACAACATTCATTCATCCATCCATCTTGACAATCCATATGCTGAAAAGTGCTTTCGTATGCAGTAACTCACCAGATTGTGACAATTCTGCAAATGATGTGACATGACACCCAACATGTTGAGGATTTTTTATTTTAAGATAGTTACCAAGAAATTTATTTCTGAAGCAAAGTATTACACTGAGCTTTGCAAACAGGGCTGTCCTGTAGTGTTGAGAAACAGAGTGCATTTATCTGCAAACACTGATGACCGAGCAAAGCGTTTACTTTGTTACTGTGGTGAAATGACTCAGTGGAGTACTCCACATCTGATAATAGGTGCTTGCACGATAGAGTCCTAAATTGTCTATGAGACTGTAATTACAGGCAGTAGTAAAATCCAAGCCATATGTGGCAATAAACACCATACTTTTGTGCTCTCATGTCTCAGACTAAAGACAAATGGAGTCCCACCCTGCAGTTAGAAGATCTTTGCTCTGTTTACTCATACCATGTAAAATGGACAAGCTATTTGTTTTGCTTACACATTCTTCCATACAGTAATTCTCTTTCTATTTAGTGATTGGTTTTGTTATGTGTTTTAACACACAGCTGACAAGAACAGCTCCAGCATGGCGACGAGACCTTCTCCTGGTAAAATGGAATGGATCATCCCGCTTATTGTGGTCTCAGCACTGACCTTCGTGTGCCTCATTCTTCTCATTGCTGTGCTTGTCTACTGGAGGTGAGCCTGTTTCCTTTTGATTGGAAACTGATTATGATTTAAAACATATTTCAGGTGGTGTTTTTTAATGTGGTCCTGTGTTTTTTATTTTGTTAGATGTTATGGTGATAGATGCATTAGATAACTCTCTGGATGCTAGAACAGCTCTGTTGGTTAACTATTCAGCTGTCTTCAATATTGATTTTTTGTGTCATGTAAATGAGCTTGGTAGAGCTCTAGCAATGGTTGAGCCAGCTGTAATGCCAACAACTATTTTCACAATTAGTCCCTCTAATATAGCTATAAAAAGGTATCTTTGTCTTGACCTTCAGGAAAGGTGGTCATGGCAGAAAGGCCCGGTGAGACTGGACTTGGTTCCATGGGTGGCTTTGCCACAGACCACCTGTGTGACCTTGAGCAGTTCTTTTCTTCCTTTGACTGTACTTCAAGAAAGGGGGACAAGCTTGTTTCATGTTACATGGCAATGCTCTGAGTAGTTCTTTAGCATTGGTGAAGTGTTCAGAAGTGCAGCCTGCAAGGTCTTGAAAGTAAAGATTGCCTTTTACAAAGAGATACTGTCCTTTACACCATTGGGCACTGGTTCAGTGGTGGAGACTAGGATTAGCATCAACAAATCCATCTCCATTTGATTGAGAGTAAATTAAAACCTGCAGCACCTTCTTGTGCCAAAACCAGAACCCAAAACCCCAAGACACCCTGGTAATGAGAATTAACCAGGGATTAGCCTCATAGAAGGTATTTAGGAATTATTTCAAAACCTCATTAGATGGGACACAGAAAAGTAGCTTTGATGAGAAATAGCAGTCCATAGATCATTATATTTGCAGAATCAGTTAAAAAAACTACCAAGCTGTTTTTCAGTACACCCATTCTGCTGACAATTAATTGGCCAAATTGTTGAGGCTGGGAACATTTGAAAGAATATTAATGAATAGATTACAATGGTCTTGTGAAAATCATTTCTATTAACATTTGCAAGTAATTAACATCACTGCAGTAAGACAATGAATAAAATTGCAGTACTATGTGCACAAAAGCTGAAATGGGAAAGGTTCTGAAGATCCCATTGTAGTGTCCTGTCCTTCGATATATGTTTTCTTCATTTGAAGGACTAAACTAAGTTGCATTCACACCAGGCAAGTCCTTGAAGAATAAGGTATATTCTGAAGCACTGTAATGAGGGGTTAGTAATATTTGTCTTGCATTGATACAAAATGCTCTTCTCAGGAGGAAAGGTTTTGAAATAAAATGCTAACAGCTATTATCAAGAAGAATGTTGGTACCTCACCCTGTTTGGAAAACATTTCCATTTCCTGCAATTTCACTAATGGATTGAGAGAAATCATTGCAAAAAGAGTGTTTAATTTGCTCAAAGAGTAACAATACCATCCATGAGAAGATACTAAAGTTGTAAAGTACTGGCTTAGTAACGAATAGTTAAGAGACTAATTTTTGATAAATATTGGCTTCTGTTGTAGATCATAATATTACTCGAGTCTAAAATTAAGATATGTTAAAGTTAAATACTTTTTATCTTCTAAATTCCTAACCATCCACTTCATATAATTTTTATTTGCTTCATAGTAACAAAACCACACATAAATCAAGGAAGATACATGAACAAAGACTTTAGCTGAAACCAAATTACTTTTTCAGTAATGTTTGTTATTTTGCATATGGACAGTAATTGTTTCTTATCTGCTCTCCATAATATGCATGAGTAGTTAACATTCATCAGTGGCTTTGGTAAAATAGGCATTGTCATTAATACCCTTGACAGCAGGGATCAATTTTTTTGTGTAAAATTGATATTAAAAAAAGGTGGAGATTAAAAATTAATATGGACATGGAAAGTATGTCATGTAGCAGGCAAAGTTTTTTGATAAATATGAAGCAACAAATTGAGGAACAATAAACAAACTTGAGAGCACATGTGTACTAGCTTCAAAATAATCTCCTGTGTCTACCTGCATAGTTTTGAGGATTTTTTTAACAAATACAGACTGTGTATAAAAAAAGTAAACGTGTGTTTTAGGATAAATCAACAAGCAACTAGAACACAAATTGTCCACAGTAACATTTCACGTTCTGCAGACCACGTCACTGAAGTTGCAACACAGCATTTTGTGTGCCCTTTTCAGTGTGATTACCTTTCCTTAGGAAAAATAAAATGTTTATCTCTGTGAGTGTTTTAAAGTGAGGAAAAAACAGATCCTCAGACACTGCGGAGCCTAATTTACAAGTTTGAAAGGAACAGTGATCCGGATTTTTAGGAAGAAATACTTAGCTTAAAATGTAATGGGCAACATATGGAATAATTTGCTAAATAACACCATCAAAGCAAATGGCGTGAAAACGAGTTTGAGACAGATTTTTCAGTAAGGGAAACATGGTATTGAAGTGCACAGCAGAGAAACACTTGTTATGAAAGGATAACCCTCAAGGGGACAGGCGTGCTGGACCAAGGGGTCTTTTCTTGCACAGCAGTTCTTTGTTTTGTGTGAGAAAAAGCATTACAAAACAAAATTCAGAGAACTAGAAAATGCAGAAGAGACATAGTTACCCTTTGGCAATACATTCTGAGGGTGAAACAAATGATATTTTCACTTTTGCGTTTTTTGAGCATTTGTGGGATTAAATGATTTCAGACCAGAGGTGACATAAGTAGAACAATGAAGCAGAGAGAAGCCTTCTGCTTGTTTGCATTGCGTCGATGCCCTATTATCCAGGGACCAAAATAAGGAGTTAGGGAAGTTGCTTGTGAAGGTTTGGCAAAACGTTTATCTCTGTTTGGCAAAGCATTTATCTCTGTTTGGATCCTTTGTAACTCATTCCGTGATACAGCAATGAAATAAGTTTTGTGATGATGTCTTGTTGTAAGGAAGCTTCATTTTCTGTTCCCTTTATTTGAAAAGGAGAGTGATAGGAAGCAGTCATTGTTTGGTGAAGCTTTTCCTTTCTTTTATCTGTTGAGCTTCCATGCTGTGTTCATTAGAGCCTTCTTGTAATTGAATATATTTGGAAATGATCTCTGCCATTTCTGAACGAGACTCCCTTATTTGCAGAGGTAATTTGCTGTTCTCAGTTCCTTTTCTATGTGGATCCTGGACAAATGGCGAAAGAATATGATTGATGTTGAAGAGAAAGGGTCACTTCCGTCTTTTTAGCATGATGGCCATCTCAGTAATGAAAAGGGATGGGAACTTGCAGGCAAGCAGCAGCTCTGAATTACCTTTCTACTAAAGTTTCCTGAATTCAGTACTTTTAATGGCACCGCTGTGCAAAGAGGGCTATGTGATTTTGAGTTGGTAGAGTGGAAAATAAACTAGGTCACCATAATGAAGCTGCAAAAATTGCTCTGCCTTTTATCCCAGAACAATGAGAACACCACCATCGTGGGATGACCAGAAGCCACGTGTCCACTGGGGCTGGTTGGCAGTTGGGCTTCCTGGGCAGGAGGGACAATGATGGCTGTAGTTTCAGTTTGCTTCTGTGCATCTTTGATTCCTCCTGAGGAAAAGCTGGCCTTGAGCTGGAGTAGGCACGATGAAGGGGACTGTTGCTCCCAGGACCTCTAGTGCTTGAAACTGATTTCTTTTAGCATCAAGTCAAGAATTTGAGTCTTAGCAGACAGAAAAGGTGAGGAGACCAGATCCTTGTTTTACTCAACATGTAGATTCACCATTCGCTTCTGCAGTGGCACAGTGGTATTTTTCTGCTTTCATTCCTTTTGTACTGGTTCCTGAAATTGTGTGCTGTAGGGACAACCACTGAGTATTTCTGAGAACTATTCGCTGGAATTTTAGGATCTTTCGCTGGAGCACTACTAGGTCATCTAGAGCCCATTAAAATGTGTGCATTGTGAGGTGCAGTTTCCCAAGCACATGATTTTTGCATTTCTGGGCATTTGTTTTGCATCTGTGATTTTATACCCAGACTCAGTATCATGAGATCCTTCTGCAGTTCTTCAAGGTCAGTTTAAAATTTGATTTGGATTGTCTGCAGTCTTTGCCACTGTTATTCTCACAGCCTTTTCTACAAGCTCTGAGAAATGCAGAGTGTGTTTGGTAGTGACCTCCAAACTATTTAGGGATTGAGTGTGACTTCAGTTTTTTTGCAGCAAGGCGAGTTCCTATAGCATGCTGAGCCATAATATGGCTTGAAGCATGTCTTTTCTAGCACTTCCACTATATTCTGTTGCAAATTGAACAAGTCCTGAGTAGTGACACTTTAAGGGAAACCCATGGTCAGTGCCACTTTCTTTTTCACAGAGGTGCAGGAGGGTGACTAGAGTTGGGAAATCAACTAAAATACTTCGATGCACATTAAGTTCTGTCATTTTAGAAAAAAAAAAAACCCATATTTTAGGAGTGACTGGTGACCTTCCACTGTTTGTTTTCCATTCTGGTTTTTAATCTAAACACTACAATGCTATAGACTGTGGTTTCAAAGGGAAAAATAAGCAGAGAATATTAAGAAGCAATTAAGATTTTAGAGTTTAGCCAACAGCAACTTTTAAATGGGAACTAAATTATAGCCATTTCTCATTTTCAGCTAAGAGGAAGAAATTAATTCACAACTATAGCTGGAGAGTTTTCTTTTTCTTTCTTCTGAACACATACCATAATTCACCTCTGAATTATTGCCACCATCAACATCGTGATCCCAAAGACAAAGCGGGAATATTGTGTTGCATTTCTTATTAAATCAAGCTGTTTATACAGTGCTAATACGTTTACATTCAGGAGGGATTTTTGGAACAACACAGCTGCTGCCTTTCAAAGACCAAGCAAGCAAGCTTGCATTGCTTGTTTATAGTCATGTGTGTATATGAGACAGCTTGGGAAAAAGATGCCTTTAATTTTCCTTGGGCAAAACCCTATAGAATTTAGTAGATAGTAAGAGTTTTCTTAGGTTTTTGTTAAGCATCCTGTTGAATTGAACAGAATCCTTGGGATGGGTCCTGTGGCAGAGCCTTGTACTTCTCTGGCAGTGCCTTT